TTCCTGTCACATTTATGGCGTTGCGCATTCGGTGGTAGGTTATTTAGTTTGTATTTCCTAGATGGGAGTGGTTTGACCGCAATTCTCCTTTCGTCCATTTTGAAAGAGGGCAGAAATGCCCAAAGTTCATACAATATGTCGGAATATATAATATAATAGAAGAAAAATGTATATTAAATTTAAACAATTATGAATTTAAATAAATAATAAAATAAATTTCTGTATTTTATATCAATTAAAATGATAATTATCTTAATATGATTCTACACACAAGTACATTTTAGGAAAGGACACTGAGCAATGTATGAAATGAAAGAAAAAAGGGATAAAGTAATAAGAACGTTAAACATCTATGTAAAAGAAACAATACTCTATAAAATGATCCATTATTAAATAAACCTATAAAATACTATTTATCTCAAAGTCTATATTGAGACCCATAGGTGTTGTAGTGGATGGCATTGGGCTGTCCTGAAAACTACATGTATTTTAATGTATTCGGTTAAATTGTATCTATGGATGTGAAACTGTATGCAGCATTCGCCTGATTGTTCAGTAGAATCACTCTAAGTGTTATGCGAATGAAACTACCGAACAGTCAGACCACCCCAGTGGGAAGTGTGCCTCCAATTACCGGCTGCAACAATGTTGCAAATGGGTAATTGCCAATCTGTGCAGTAGGTCCTTTGTTTGCGGGGTGGCCGCCATACGTGGCGGCGGCCATTTTAAAACTCCCGAACAGCAGTGTTTTGCCATCGAGTGTCTGGAACCCAAATCGGACACTCGGCTACGCAAATACCGCTGAGACCTCCACACTGCCCTAAAGTTCGTATCCAAACTACCAAACGGCCTTCCGTTCGGTAGAAAGAAACAACCGAACAAGGGGATTCATGCTAACCCTCCCTAGTCTCTATAGCCCAAGCCTTTCGTGCCATTTATTCCCTTCTTTTGTGACCGACCGCAGGGCCCCAATTTCGGCTGTTCCCTCACGCGCGGTCAGTCTTTTAATTACCTCAACAGATTTCCCGAACCCCTGGTCCGATCTGGGTGATTTGTGGATATGTCTCTCACCCAGATCAGAGCTACCAGGGGATGTAACATTTAAAGGGGTACCCCTAGGTTTAGGGGTACATCCAGAAACTCAGGGAATTTGTGTGCTGTATAAGGGGATTATGAGTCAGGCTTAGGGGAGGAGATGTGTGGGAGGTTACTCAGGTATGATTGGACACTGTACTAATGACTGTAAATCCCTCCCTTGCATGGGAGAATGCTTTATAAGGCCACTGTGTGAATAAAAGTTCAGTTCTGCTCCTGATGCTGTGTGTCGTCCAGTCATTGGGATTGCTGTTGGGATATTGTTGGATTATTTTGCCTGCTGGAAACCTTGCCTCATGGATTTATAATACTTGTTCCTGAGCCTCACTTGGATCTTAAGCGGAGATAACCTGTGGAATACCAGGTTTCCGCTACAGGTGTTAAGGTGCACATTTCAAAGATCCATTTAACCTCTTGGGTACTCAATTTGTTTGTTTTTTTGTAACTGAAGAACTAAATGTTGTTGCATTTTTATTTGATATATCTGTACTCTTACATGCATTGCACATCCCGCAGTGAAAAATTTTTTTTTACTTTTTGACCAACTAGTTAAAAATTTATTATTCGGGATTTCCTTTTCTAAAAAGCTGTTCGTTAAAATTTGTTTGAAATTTTTTGCCCCCCTAAAAACAAATTTGGATTTAGAACCTATAAACTCCTGTAACTGGATTGTCTTCCAAATTATAAAAATATCGTCGATATATCTCTATTTTGGCAGAAGACACGAAAAGATGGGGAAACATACATAATGTCACACAGGCAAATCACCGACCGGAAACGGTCCCACCACACAAGAGATACTTGGCAGAGGTACCCAGGGAGCTATGCTACATCTTTCACCCAGGTTCTCTGTGTGTCTCTCCCCCGAACCCCTTTATGTGTCTCTTCCCCCTGTTTGTGTGTCTTTTACTCCACCCACAGCACCTGTGTGCATCCTTTACTTCTCCCAGCTGATCTGTCTCTTTTCTCCTGTCCCCTTTGTGTCTCTTCTTCCCTGCCCCCTTTGTGTCTCTTTCCCCTAGCACATTTGTAAGTTTCTTTCACCCAGCTCCTTTAACTCTCCCCAGACTTTTGTCTGTTTCTCCCCCAGCCCCTTTGTGTCTCCTTCCCCATCTCCTTTTGTGTGTTTGCCTCCCCCCCTCCACCAGCCCCTCTTGTGTTCTCTTCCCCTCCTCCCTCCAGGCATGCCATCTTACCTTCATTTTGTAGCCTGACCACATGGACTGTGGTAGAGGATCTTTCTGTCAGACTGGGTAGAGGATAAATACGATCTTCTACCGTGGTCCGTGTGGCCATGCTACATGAACAGATTGGCCATAGAGGGAGTACTGTGCACTCTTCAAAAATCTTCTTCAAAATCTTGAACATCCAATATGAAAAAAGTGATATAAAAGATAGAACTGATGAAGGAATTAAACAGTTTAGAACATTTGACAACATCTGGGTGGGGTCTTCTTATAAATTGCAAAGACCCCAAACAGTGACTGCTGGCCGAGAGGTGCAGGCAATGGTGAGTTTTACTTACCTGAGCCTGTTCCTACCTGAAGACCCCACAATCTTCCTGTGGGTCCTCTTCAGGTTCTGGAGCTTCAGCGTCATGCATGAGCAAGGTTAGACCCAGAGGTCTATGAAGGGTTCTCCACAGAGCCTTCCCCTAAGCTGTCCCTAGGTGGCTCTACTTCTTGTCGAGCATCGGTCAGATTACTTTATCTTAATATTTCTTTTGATTGGGTTGGAATTTCAGTGAAATCAATGTGAGTATTCCAAAGAGATCTGATATTTATGTAATACTCATTGTGGATTGGGGAAGACCGAGTCACTGTATATTTTCCATTCTACAGTCTTTTTTTTTTTTTTTTTACCAGTTTCCAGTTTAGAGAGTTCACCCAAAATGCTATTTATAAAAGTGCTGGTACACAGTATAGAATTGCATTTTTCATACAATGCTGCAGTCATATTTATATGTTACGTATAATTTAAGGGTTTTCTGATAATTCTACACTCTCAGAGTCAACTCTAATGTCTAACCACACGCAATAAACACACACCAAAATACTCAATTATTTATCTCAAGTGCAAAAGACTCAGCGCTGCGGTCCCTGTATCATATTACAGTGCTACAAAAACAGATACAAAAATATTGTATTTCCATTTGTAAAACTGATCTTGCAGAAGCTTCCAAGCATGGAGAAAGTTACACACTGCTTATTCATCTGTTACATATTGAGAAAAATTGTCATGAACGGGTATACATTACTGCACTTACTGTAGTTTAATGTTCTTACAGGTATATGTCAAGGGGACACAACAAGCACCAAAACAACTACATCTTAAAGGGACACTATAGTCACCAGAACAGCTTAATGTATAGTATACAGCTTAATGTACGGCATACAGCTTAACATACGGTATACAGTTTAATATATGTTATACAGCTTAATGTACAGTATACAGCTTAATGTAAAGTGTGACGAGAGCAATCTCGCCACATTGCATTGGAGAAGCCTGGTTGCCCGCCTGCTGCCTTTGGACTATGGCCCCATGTTAAAAGACATCTTTTTCCCTGCAGAAAAGATTTATTCGTGCTTTTCTGCCCGGTGTTCGGTAGATTCAATCTACCGAACAACTGCACGGATGACTAGACAACCAGGGAGCTGGGGTGTGCCGGCAATTAGCCTCCCAGAAGCTGCGGTTAACCGCAGCTTAATTCACGAATAATGGGTGGCCGCCATTCATATCACGAACACGAGGTCGCGGCCATTTTAAACCTGCGAACGCACAGCGGTGTTCGACGCTTAATTCATGGAACTAAAATCGGACACAGTTTGGCGCGAATACCGCTGAAGCCGCCGACTTCCCTTCTTGTTCGACGGGAGTGCACGAACAGCCCGGTGTTCGGTAGTTTTACCTGACTGTATTATACCCCAGATAGGAATCCCATGGAGCTCATTCGTATGAGAACTAACTGTGTAAAGACTTTGGCTCCATGCCGATTGAACTGTATTCGTGTAGTCTGAGCGCCATTAGCTTAATAATGTGCACTCAGACCTGAGCTATCTGGGGACATGTTAAATGTATAGTTTTATGGTAAGTTATGTCATGTAATGTATTTTAATTGTAATTCCTGTCTTAGTATCCCCACGTGCATAATGGCGATTTACCTTTGTCCTGGGAGATAATTGAATTACTTCTCAATTATCTCCAGGGCAGAGGGGAGGAAGCCAGGATGCATTGTGGGAATACAATGTGTCTGTGTGTCCTAAATTGATACTTGTCTGTCTTTTGTCACAGTCTCCCATTTGGTCCCCTAGGGGAGTGTCCACCAGCTGGGAGACCTGCATAAATACTGGGCAGGTAGCCCTCATTAAACAGACCACTGCTTGACCCTCAACACGAAGCCTTGTCTCGTCTTTGGGGGGATTTACTGACTGCTGATAGAGACTGATTGCTAGGAGTGTAAGCCGCTTGGATGCTTTTCCTATTCGTCTGCTAGCAGTGATTCGTATGGTTCCAGTTCGTGTGTTTGGAGTGCTATATTGGATGCTGTTCGGGAGTTTGGAGCATTCCCCTATTTGCAGTTCGGGAGTTTGGTGTTTTACAATAGCTGTGCCTGCATCTCTGAAAGGGGACGATCGCCTAAACGGTTTTTACCCCTTGTGTGCAAAACGATCCGTTACATATAGTATACAGCTTAATGTACAGTATACAGCTTAATGTACGGCATACAGCTTAATGTATGTTATACAGCTTAATGTACGATATATACAGCTTAATGAAGTGGTTCTGGTGCCTATTGCCTGTCTCTGTAGTATTTTTCATGTCAACACTGCCTTTTCCAATTTCACATTACAGCCTAGTAACACCTCTAGAGGCAGTCACTCAGATGGTGCACAGTTAGAAGCACTGAGGTTCAGCGTCTCCACATTCTGCATGGAGGTGCTTAACGCTCCCCACTGAGATGCATTGGTTCATGAGGATATGCCGGTTAGCCAGGGCATCTCTGTGTTTTTACAACTATAGTATTCCTGACACTATAGTGTTCCTATAATGTTGTGGTTTTGGTGCATAGACCCTGTCCCAGCAGTCAAATGAATGTAACCATTTCACCATTTGCGAGAAACACCAATGCTTGTATTTGTCCGTCTGGATGTCTCTAGCTGCTGTCAGTCACACAATGAATAATTGAAAGTCTTTGCATACAATGGTCACAATGCTTTTCATAGAGAAGCACTGGATTCAGTAAGAAGCATCCAGTTGGCTGAGAGAGGTGATATCCGTGCATGCCCAACAGATCCCCAGTGTTTCTCTATGAGATCCTCAGTATTTCTCTATGAGATCCCCAGTGCTTCTCTGTGAGATCCTCAGTGCTTCTCTATGAAACTCCCAGTGCTTCTCTATGAGATCCCCAGTGCTTCTCTATGAGAAATGCAGTGCTTCTCTATGAAATCCCCAGTATTTCTCTATGAGATCCCCACTGTTTCTCTATGTGATCCCCAGTGCTTCTTGTAACAGCACCCTCAGCATAAAAGGGTTAAACCGCCGTTTAGTAGATCTTCCCCTTCCAGAGATACAGGCACAGCTACTGCAGAACACCAAACTCCCGAACCGCATGTAAGGGAATGCTCCAAACTCCCGAACTGCATACAAAATAGCACTCTAAACTCCCGAACTGGAACTTTACGAATAGCTGCTAGCAGACAAGTAGGAAAAGCACCCAAGCGGCTTACACTCCTAACAATCAGTCTCTATCAGCATACAGTAAATCCCCCCAAGAACGAGACAGAGCTCTGTGTTGAGGGTCAAGCAGTGGTCTGGTTTATTGAGGGCTACCTGCCCAGTATTTATGCAGGTCTCCCACCTGGTGGACACTCCCCTAGGGGTCCAAATGGGAGACTGTGACAAAGGACAGACGTGAACCAATGACAGACACACAGAGGTAAAACATCCCAACAATGCATCCTAACTTCCCTGCCTCTGTCCTGGAGATAATTGGGAAGTAATCCAATTATCTCCCAGGACAGAGGCAAAACTCCATTAACCACATGGCAGTAAAAGACATAAAAATGTATAAAGGTACAACTGTTGCACAAAACATATACATTCTACCTATCCCCATTTAGCTTAGATGTGAGCGCACAAAAGTACCGAATAGCGCTCAGATCCTATGCACACAGTCCAATCGCTGTGGAGTTAAAGTGTTCACAAAGTCTGTTCTCC